GTTTTCAGGACTGAGAAGAAGCATGGCACCCTTCAGGGAAATAATTGAGTCACACATAAACTTTTCTTATTTAGACTACAAAAGTATTAGCCTCAAGATCAGCTGGCTTCTTATGTTTTTATAAAATAAATGACAGAATAGTTTACCATTAGTTATCTTCAATTTTCCATTTCTTCATGAAATTTGAGAGACCATATTTTATCCGATTATGTGAAGTAAAGTAACAGGGAGTCATGGGATCCAGCAGTCTGAATAGCAATTGTCAGAGGATAAGAGTATCACAGAAGTTGCTGCCATTTAGTTCTAATGATGGTGTTTTTTTTTTTTCCATGAAGAAACCTTTTAGTTTTACGAGGTTCCAATATGCTATTGTTAATGAAGTGCGGGGAAAGGAGAAGAGAGTGTGTGGTGTGCTTAGCTTGTATTTGTTTATGGAGATGATGAGATGTAGCTGAAATTTCATTTCCAATATCTGATTGTCATAAAAGTTGTGTACATGTGGGCATATAAGAAACAGTCTGATGTTTGATTCCCCTCTGTATGCTGAGAATATGTTTGATTACCAAATAGGCTGCTTTGGAATATGACAGGTCAAAATATAGCAGGGAAGGAAATCCAAGTAGTGATAGAATAGGGAAAAAGTCAGAATCAGCCAAATGCCATAAACCACTGAAGGAGAAAGCTGCTTGAACCTTACTGGTGGCCACAACCTCATGGTGATATGCAGATGAATAGAATTGAGTTCATTTAAGATGTAAAAGCTAGCTAGGAATACACCTAAGCTGTTGGCCAGTGTTGTAATTAGTACAGTTTCTGAGTGATTATTCGAGTGTGAAAACAAACATGAAGAATCTTTCAAATTGGACACATGCAACACACACATATTCATAAATATATATATATATATATAACAGAATGTGACTGTAAGAGAATATTGTATTTAGATAGATTTAGCACTTGACTTCTAATGTCCTTTAGCATAGACAAAATTATTTTGAAGAATTATATTGTTTTATTTGATCTTCTTAATTACTTATACTTTATTTGTTGTTACAGTTACTAAATAATAAATATATCCTGATCTATCATAATATTTGTAGAGGATAGTGCTATAAATCCACAAAACAGTGTTTCTGTATAAATACTTTTAGCCATGAATGAAAAATGCACATTTACACTTATTTTGGAACACCTGCATTGTGCTGTGTATGGCAAAACATTGTGCCAAAAATGTTACTTTTCTCCCATTTCCCCCTTTGTCACTGTGACCAAATAGCTAAAGTCCAGGAAGAGATTCACCATGTAGTTGGCAGAAACCGCAGCCCCTGCATGCAGGACAGGAGCCGCATGCCCTATACAGATGCCATGATTCATGAGGTCCAGAGATTCATCAACTTCATCCCCACCAACCTGCCCCATGCAGTGACCTGTGACACTAAATTCAGGAACTACATCATCCCCAAGGTGAGCTTGTCTCTTCCCTGCTGCACCTCTGTGCTCTTTATACTCAGGGATTCACAGTGTTGTTACAGTCCTCTGAGTTACTGGTGCTGCTGATGGCTAATACGGCTTCATGATAAGAGGGGCAGCTCTACTGCAGGCACAGATATACTGGTAATGACGCTCCCACATTTGCTCTTTCTTCCAAATACTGTTTGGCAAAGTTTAGGTTTTTCTGATTCAAAGTCCACATTTTGTCAACTTTCCAAAAGTCTTTTCTGGCTTTTTGTCATTAAGAGAAAAAAAATCTCCAAATTGGAAAGAATTGATATCATGGATTCTTCAACTCATCAATAAGGTTATGTCATTCAATCATTTTTTGTGATGTTTATTTCTCTGCCCTGTTTCTTTTCATTGATGTAGTCTGTATACATCTTTTCATAGGTCTACTAAATGCTGAGTATCTTTCTGTTATTATTTCTCTAGTGTTACCTCTGCTATTCTTTCTATTAGCTTAATAGTATCAATTTATGTAATTATTCTGTTGGTCTTAATCTTATCTGAACTTATAATTTTTATTGTTTCTAATAATGTATCTGTAAATGTATGTGAAATTGAAGGTATTATGTGGGCTAATACTTTTCTATATACTTTTCATATTTCCGTGTTCTTAGTTTGTCTTCAGTATGATGAATTGCAGGATGGTGATGAACAAAACTATTTGCAATTGACATTTCTGATTAGGATGAAGGATAGTGACTTTAATATCTCCCTATCAATTTTGAAGTCCTAGGATAAACTGATAGCTGTGTAGATCAGATTAAAAATTTTTATCTGATTTATTTAATAGTATATGAGATACACTACTGTGGAGCCAATTATGTTTGAGTATGGCCCAGGAACATAGATTTTCACTTTGAGATAAATTTTATTCATGAAAATCTGTATATTATTTTCAAAATTGTTCTTTATGCCCATTTTATGGTTCTATGTATTGAATACTTTTGATCACTGATTGCATATGGTATAAACACACACACACACACACACACACACACACATATATATGTGTATACACACACACACACTCATATATATATATATATATATAATGGATTTTTCCACTACACATGTTATGTTTATGTACTTAGATACAACTAAATAATAAGTATAAAAAAGGGCAAGATAGGAACAGCACATCTCCTCATATCATCCTTGGGTTTAAGCCTAGTTTGAGGTGAGTGTTGTATCAGCTAAACTTCTACTCTGTCATTTTTCTCCTGCAGTTTGATGACATGACAGTTTTCTTTAGGATCTATTCAAGTAGGATGTTCTATTCTTGTACTTTATGAAACAACCAAGTTGATTCTACATTCTGAGAACTAGGATAAACTATTTCTTAGATGAGTTAGAGCCACTGATGTCATCAAAACAAATAGGATAGGAAGGAACGGATGATCTTTGCCATAATTGTTCTGGCAGATTTCAGCCTTTCTAGGCCAAGAAGATTGTGCTGCCCCTTCAGAAACTCTCATTGCAGCAGAGCAGCAGTCACAGCCAACATGTAAACAATTGATTGTGAATATACTATGTTCAATGCCTGTTGACACTAGAACTTAATTTTCACATAATTTTCATATATCAATAGCAGTCTTTTTAGTTTTAAAATTTTAGACACATTAGATAAAACTGCTTTCTAATATGTGTTGGCAACCTTGAAAAAAAATTTAGATCACATTCCTAGAAACTTTGAAATGATATAAAGTTAGTTTGTGTACTAGTTAAAGAGAACTTGCCTGCATCAGCTCCCAGCAATTTCTGTGTCTTCAGAAGTTCTACTGATTTAGCTGTCACCTGATCATCTTACCTTCATCATACTTTGTTTTATTTTATTGTCTCCCTTTACTCCCCATTCCATTCCTTCCTTTTTTTCTCCCAAGAAGTCCTCATCCAGCATTTCTCACACACACACATACACACACACACACACACACACACACACACACACACACACACGTGTATATTTCAGCCAAATATTTCTATATTTATGTTTGTACATTCATTTATATACAAGATTGGACACATCTACTCTGGCACATAGCCTTGCATTTTCATTCTTATAATATAAATTCAAAGATAGATAGATTCTATAAGTGAGAGAAAAGAAGTGGCCTTTGTCTTTCCAAATCTTCCTTATTGTATTTAATGAATGGTCTCATATTCTATTCAAAGCACTCAATGAATTTTTCTACTTGGAACCCGATTCTCATGAAGGGAATGTAGACATATGTAATGAACTAGAGCAGTCAGTGTTCAGGGAAGCATGAGTTCAATCTAAAGGAAAGGGAGAAGAGACTCAGAATTTTAGTCCAAGTACTCCTGTGAAATGTCATTGAAGTCACCTCAGCTACAACACTTTGACTGACTTCCTCCCTGCTACTTACTGTTCTGCCTGTTGAAATGTCCCTACCATTCTTTGTTCTCCGTGCCAACTATGTAGCAGAAGGTAAACCTGGATATTTTCCTGATTTGTCCTAGCTCTATGATTTCTTTTAACTTTGTTTTTGTGTGTTGTTGTAGGGAACAACGGTAATAACATCACTGTCATCAGTGCTGCATGACAGCAAGGAATTCCCCAACCCAGAAACATTCGACCCTGGCCACTTTCTAGATAAGAATGGAAACTTTAAGAAAAGTGACTACTTCGTGCCATTTTCAACAGGTAATAGGAATTCATTTCCATGGATCCAGAAACATGAGGATCTGTGGAGACTTACATAGGGGCTCCTTAATGGGCAGTGATCAGGAGTATGACTTTCAGTGTTTAAGCATGTATAAAGAGATTGTTTCTCTGTCAGGATATGAAAGTGAGGTTTTAACTGTTTATCCACTGTTCAAAATTCAGAAAGCTGGAGTACAGTGTGTTTGTATTCTTCCTTTAGCTACATCACAAAAAAAAACATGGTAAGCAAAGGCCATTTACACTTACTCACTCACCGTGAAAATGGAGACGTCATAATTTGCATTCAGGTCTTCTTTGCTGTATCACTCACCTCTATTCTCAACTATGTAATTACAAGTCTCCAAAAATATCGAAAATTATTGAAGAGCACTAAGTTCACTTGGTAAACACATGAATGAACAATGCTTCTTAAATTTCAGTTAATGTAGGGCAATGAGAAAGATTCCCAGATCTCTAGGTTATAGGTGATATCAGTACATTTATCTCTCCAGCCTTACATATTAAAACAAAAATGGAACACCATTCTAATAAATGACTCCCTAGTTGCCTCAAAATTCATGGATTGTGGAGAATCATGAGAAGAAATCACTTACCATTAATAGAAGTCCATGAATAGATCAGAGAGTTAATTATTTTTGATAATTAACACAGAATTCCTCCTCAATCTCTTAGGAAGCCCGATACAGATGTGAACAACTAAAACTCGTTAAAAAGTATTTTTGAACAATGTATTTCTATACTATTAGATAATAGTATGGGTTAATTGAGAAAGAAATGTATTCCACATTTTTTTAATTGCTGAATTAATTGTCCTTTCATTCATCCACACATCTATGCATCCACCCAAAACTTACCCTTCATTCATAGTCTCAGTTACAAATGCAGTGATTCTCAAGTTTACAAATGAGAATTGTAATCTTTGATTTTATCCCCCCTAGGAAAACGGATTTGTGCAGGAGAGGGCCTGGCACGAATGGAGCTGTTTCTATTTCTCACCACCATTTTACAGAACTTTAAGCTCAAATCTCTAGTTAATACTAAGGATATTGATACAACCCCAATGCTCAATGGATTTGCCTCTGTGCCACCCAAATACCAGCTCTGCTTCATTCCTATCTAAAGAAGAGCAGATTGCCTACCCCAAGCTGTATTGTTTTCTGTAAGTCTCTAGACCTTCATTCACCTCCTTCCCCATCTTGGACAAGATGTCCTTCCCTCCTCTCCTGTATTCCCATTCTGTCACAACCCAGGAAACACCTGTTAACTATTTTGCAACTTGTTGAATCACATTAGAAACATATTGCTATATTCTATTCTGTGCAACTGTGTTATTATTTCTTTTGCTAATGTGTATCTGGCCTTTAAAATAGAACTTCACTGCAAATAATGTAATAAGAGAATTCAAGGTCATTTTCTTCTGTATGTTTTCAGTAATAAATAAGTTTGATTTGCGCACCTGTTCTTAGACTTTCTTACAGTTTAGGTAAGAACAAAATAAAATAGAATTCCCTACATGTCGTGTTGGTCCACATATCATGAAGCGTGATGAATATAGGAGTGAGTGTTAGAGAGATATTTCATTGACTGAAGTGCTTGCCACGAAGACATGGTGGTGTGTTCTTGTTGTACTAACACTGTGTAAACAGAACAAGAGATCCAGGAAGCCTGCTAGACATCCAACCCAGCCTAATTACTGATTCCCCAGTGTTATACCCTGTCTCTGAAAACAAGCTTGTCAGCTCCCGAGAAACAAAGCACAAGGTTCACTACTGACATCCACATATGTGTATGTATATGTATAGATTCTCTTACAAATAGGCACTTGATTATCTACACACATTCACACACCAACATACATACAGGAAATACAGAGTGAGAAGAGGAAAGTGGTATCAAGCCTCTTTGGCTGAGCATCACCTAGACTCATCTGAAGTATGTGTATTTGAAACAAATAACCAGTGTCCAGGAGTAGCTTCGGTTACAGGATAAGTCACAGGGAGGGGTGCAATTGCAGGGTCAGGTCATGCCTTGCTTTGCTGATAGTGTCAATAAAAGGTAAAAGTTTAAATACACTTTTGCCTTGATGTTCTTAGGTTAGAACTTAGCATGCATTTTTGTTTTTCTATTTCTAACCATGAGCTCCATGTGCATTGCTTCTCTTCCCCCGAAGAATAATAGTCCCAGGAGGAGTCACATTTCTATAACTTCTAGATGCATTATTTCCTTCCCACTGCATTACAAGTAATCTAATGAGAAGTAACATTACTGATTATCCCTTCCCTAACTTAATCTTAGAGAAGTCACTTTGTCTGGAATTGCAAATTTCTAAATTGGATTCTACTGTAGATTTATGTCTGCATATGTGTTAGTGCACAAGCACACATTCACAATGCTATTTGATCTATAATACAGATTGTTGTGGTACAAAATGTGAGTTTTGGTTAAAGTGGGTCAAATTACTAATATTTTTACGTTTATGAATTTTCCTAGTAAAAATATGCTGAACACCTTACTCCACTATTCTCAGGCCTTTAAACCTGCATTTAAACATGCCGCCTGTTATCCTGAGTATTTATGTTGTGGTCAGATTACACAGGAAATTATCAGTTATAAGACCATGTGTACCAATAGCTTTTCTAAATTAATTCTCATTCATATATTATCTTTATGTCTCTCTATCATTCTCTGTCATATATGTAGGCATTTTCTCTCTCCTTTCTATGTCTGTCTATCAAATTATGCTTTCGCTTCTTAAGAAACCTGAGTGTAGTGGAATTTCATTTTTATTTTATTTTATTTTATTTTATTTTATTTTCTGTTTATTCAAGTATCCGAACACACTCTTTCCACTTCCTCCCCTCCTCCCAATACCCTCCTGCTCCCTCCACTCTCTCTCCTCCTTCCTCACCATTCCCAAGAGCAGTCAGGATTTCCTGTCCTATGGGAAATCCAAGTTCCTCCCCCCTCCCTTCAGGTCCAGGAAGGTGAGCATCCAAACAGGCCAGGATTCCAAAAAGCCAGTCCATGCAGACGAAACAAGACCCAGTGCCATTGTCAAGGGCTTCTCAGTCTTCATTTTGATCTCGGGGGCTCAGTCAGCCCCCATGTCAGCCACATTCAGAGAATCCTGTTTGTTCAAATGCTCGTTCAGTCCCAGTCCAGCTGGCCTTGGTGAGCTCTCATTTGATCAGTCCTCTTGTATCAGTGGGTGAACGCACCCTTCGTGGTCCTGACTTCCAGCGCTCCAATGTGGGTTTCCATCTCTATCTCCATCCATCGTTGGAAGAAGGCCCCGTTTGATTTTGCTTTCCTTGCTCACGATCTCCCTCCCTCTGCTTCTCATTTGGACCTAGGGTGTTAAGTCCAGTGTTCCAATATGTGTCTCTGTCTCTATCTCCATCCATCGCTATATGAAGGTTCTGTGGTGACATGCAAAATACCATCAGTATGGTTATGGGCCAAGGCCAGTTCAGGCACCCTCTCCTCTGCTGCATAGAGTACAATCTTGGGACCTCTCCTTGGGCCTGGGAACCCCTCCAGAATCAAGTCTCTTGCAAACCCTAAAATGGCTCCCTTAGTTGAGATATAAAGTTCCCTGCTTCCAGAAACATCCTTCCTCTATTCCCCCAAGCCATCCCCAATCCTCCCCCTCTCCCCTCTCCCTAACCATCTTCCCCTACTTCCACCCCAACCCCCCATGCACCCGAGTTTGCCTGGCAATCTTGCCTAGTTCTAATATCCAGGAGGATAACTATATGATTTTCTTCAGGTTCACCTTATTTAGCTTCTCTAGGATCACAAATTATAGACTCAAAGACCTTTAATTATAGCTAGAATCCACTTATGAGTGAGTACATACCATATTCCTCTTTTTGGGTCTGGGTTACCTCACTCAGTAAAGCGTTTTCTCTGTCCATCTATTTGCATGCAAAATTCAAGATGTCATTGTTTTTTACCGCTGAGTAGAACTCTAATGTGTTTATGTTCCATACCTTTTTTAACCATTCTTCTATTGAGGGGCACCTAGGTTGTTTCCATGTTCTGGCTATTACAAATAGTGCAGCTATGAACATAGTAGAACAAATGCTTTTGTAGTATGTTAGGGCATCTCTTGGGTATATTCCCAAGAGTGGAATTGCTGGGTCCTGAGGGAGGTTGACTCCCAGTTTCCTGAGAAACCGCCACACTGATTTCCACAATGGCTGCACAAGTTTGCATTCCCACCAACAATGGATGAGTGTTCCCTTCACCCCACATCCTCTCCAGCGTAGGCTATTGTTGGTGTTTTTGACTTTAGCTATTCTGACAGGTGTAAGATGGTATCTCAAAGAGGTTTTGATTTGCATTTCCCTGATCGCTAAGGAGGTTGAGCATGACCTTAAGTGTCTTCTGGCCATTCGAAGTTCATCTGTTGTGAATTCTCTGTTCAGTTCAGTACCCCATTTTTTAATTGGGGTAATTAGAGTTTTAGTGTCTAGTTTCTTGAGTTCTTTGTATATTTTGGAGATCAGACCTTTGTCTGATGAGGGGTTGGTGAAGATCTTCTCCCAGTCAGAAGGCAGCCTTTTTGTCTTACTGACAGTGTCCTTTGCTTTACAGAAGCTTCTCAGTTTCAGTAGATCCCATTTTTTCATTGTTTCTCTTATTGTCTGTGCTACTGGGGTCCTACTTAGGAAGAGGCCTCCTGTGCCTATATCTTGTAGAATACTTCCCACTTTCTCTTCTATCAGGTTCAAAGTGGACGGATTAATGTTGATGTCTTTAATCCATTTGGACTTGATTTTTGTGCATGGTGATAGATATGGATCTACTTTCATTCTTTTACAGGTTGACATCCAGTTATGCCAGCACCATTTGTTAAAGATGCTTTCCTTCTTCCATTGTATACCTTTAGCTCCCTTGTCGAATATTAGGTGTTCATAGGTGTGTGGGTTAATATCCAGGTCTTCTATTCAATTCCATAGGTCGACTTCTCTGTTTTTATGCCAATACCAAGCTGTTTTCAATACTGTAGCTCTGTAATAGAGTTTGAAGTCAGGGATGGTAATGCCTCCAGAAATTCCTTTATTGTATAAGATTGATTTGGCTATCCTGGGTTTTTTGTTTTGCCATATAAACTTGATTATTATTCTCTCAAGGTCTGTGAAGAAGTTTGATGGGATTTGATGGGGATTGCATTGAATCTATAGATTGCTTTTGGTAGAATTGCCATTTTTACTATGTTGATTCTCCCAATCCAAGAGCAGGGGAGGTCTTTCCATTTTCTGGTATCCTCCTCAATTTCTTTCTTCAAAGACATAAAGTTCTTGTCAAATAGGTCTTTCACTTCCTTGGTCAGAGTAACCCCAAGATATTTTTTGCTATTTGTGACTACGTGAAAGGTGATGTTTCTCTGATTTCCCTCTCTGCTTCTTTATCCTTTGTGTATAGGAGGGCAACTAATTTTCTGGTGTTGATCTTCTATCCTGCCACATTACTAAAGGTGTTTATCAGCTGTAGGAGTTCTTTGGTAGAGTTTTTGGGGTCGCTTATGTACACTATCATATCATCAGCAAATAAGGAAATTTAACTTCATCCTTTCCAATTCAAACCCCCTTGATCTCCTTATGTTGTCTTATTGCTATTGCTAGAACTTCTTCAAGCAGTATATTGAAGAGGTATGGAGAGAGTGGACTGCCTTGTCGTGTTCCTGATTTTAGTGGAAAGGCTTTGAGTTTCTCTCCATTCAATTTGATGTTAGCTGTCTCCTTGCTGTATATTGCTTTTATTATATTTAAGTATGATCCTAGTATCCCCAGTCTCTCCAACACCTTTATTATAAATGGGTGTTGAATCTTGTCAAATGCTTTTTCAGCATCCAAAGAAATGATCATATGGTTTTTTTCTTTCAGTTTATTTTTATGATGGATTACATTGATAGATTTGTGTATGTTGAACCAGCCCTTCAACTCTGGGATGAAGCCTACTTGATCATAATGGATAATTTTTTGGATGTGTTCTTGGATTCGGTTTGCCAGTATTTTATTGAGAATTTTCATGTCAATATTCATGAGTGAGATTGGCCTGTATTCTCTTTCTTGGTTGTGTCTTTATGTGGTTTTGGTATCAGGGTAACTGTAGCTTCATAAAAGGAGTTTGGCAATGACTCTTCTGTTTCTATATTGTGGAATACGTTAAGGAGTATAGGTATTAGCTCTTCCTGGAAGTTCTGGTAGAATTCTGGCTTGCAACCAACCATCTGACCCTGGGCTTTTTTTGGTAGGGAGATTTTTCATAACAGCTTCAAATTCTTCACGACTAACAGGTCTATTTAGATTGTTCACCTGTTCTTGGTTCAACTTTGGTATATGGTACTTATCTAAAAAGATGTCCATTTCTTTTACATTTTCCAACTTTGTGGCATATAAACTTTCGTAGTAAGATCTGATGATTCTCTGAATTTCCTCTGTGTCTGT